CCCAAACACCCCCCAAATACCCCAAAGACCCCAAAGACCCCCAGAACCCCAAAGACCTCAAAGACCCCAGAACCCCGAACACCCCCAAGACCCCCAGAACCCCAAACATCCCCAAGACCCCCAGGAGCCCAAAGACCCCCGCAGCCCCCCGGGTGCCCTCACGCACAGTGGACCCAGACGGTGACGTTGCGCTCGGCCGTCCCCAGCTCGTTGGTGGCCTGGCACAGGTAGGTCCCGGCGTGGGCGCGGGCGGCGGGACGCGCGGCTCCGGGGATCAGGGAATTCCCGTCCTTGGAGCAGCTCACCTGCGGCGCAGGTGCGCCCCCGGCGCTGCAGCGCAGGATCCCCTCCTGCCCCTCCGTCCAGTTCTGCTGCGGGGGGCAGCGCTCCGGGTCCAGCCGCGGTTTGACTGCAGGAAAAGCCGGGATAAGGAGCGGGAAAAGAGGGGATGGGGACCAGGAAAAGGTGGGATAAGGACCGGGAAAAGGAGGGAGTGGGATATGGAAAAAATGGGATGGGGACCAGGAAAAGGTGGGATGGGGATAAGGAAAAAGTGGGATAAGGACCAGGAAAAGCCAGGATAAGGACCAGGAAAAGATGGGATGGGGACCAGGAAAAGGTGGGATGGGGACCAGGAAAAGGTGGGATGGGGACCAGGAAAAGGTGGGATAAGGACCAGGAAAAGGTGGGATAAGGACCAGGAAAAGGTGGGATAAGGACCAGGAAAAGGTGGGATAAGGACCAGGAAAAGGTGGGATAAGGACCAGGAAAATGTGGGATAAGGACCAGGAAAAGGAGGAATAATGACGAAGAAAAGGCGGCCCGGGGGCCGGAATTCCCGCTCTCACCCAGCACTCGGATCCGCTGGGATTTGCTCCTGGAGGTGTAGGGATCCATCTTGGCCACGCAGGTCACCTCCAGCCCCGGCTCCGCGTCCTCCTCCCGCGCCCGCAGCTCGAAGGTCACCGGGGGCTGCTCGGAATCCCTCAGGACGCCGCGGCCCGCGGCCAGCACCCGCACGCGGATGTCCCGGACGGCCCCGGCCGGCAAGGAGCAGCTTCCCCTCAGCGCCGTGCCCGCCACGGTGGCGTTGGCGACGTCCAGCAGCGGCACGGGGACATCTGCGGGCGACAGCGGGGTTTGGTGGCGGTGTCACCGGCCCGGCCGCGGCGTGACCCCGGCGCGGTCACTCACAGTAGGCCTGGGCGGTGGCGCTGGCCTGGAGCTCCCTGCTGCCCGCGAGGACGGTGCAGCCCAGCCGGACGCTGCCCTCCGCCGTGACGGTGACCGTGGCCGTGGCCTGGTGGCCGTCCTGGCTCAGTGTCACCGGCCGGGTGTCGTTGTTGGCGGTGACGGTGACGTTGGCGGCGGGGACGGCGACCCCGAAGCTGCAGGTGACGTTGAACGGCTGCCGTGGCTTCGGCTCCGGGGGTGACAGCGACAAGTGGGGACCCTCCGGGGGTGCTGGCATGGGGGGGAAAACTGGGTGAGCCATGGGGGGGAAATGGGGAAAAAATGGGGGAAATGGGGGAAAATAGAGAAAATCAACAGGAAATATGGGAAAACAGTGGGAAAATAATGGGGAAAATAGAGAAAAATGGGGGAAACAGCAGGGAAATAATGGGGGAAATCAGTGGGAAAATCAACAGGAAAAGTGGGGAAACAGCGGGAAAAAATGTGGGAAATCAGTGGGAAAATCAACAGGAAAAATGGGAAAACTGTGGGAAAAAATGGGGGAAAATAGAGAAAAATGGGGGAAACAGCAGGGAAATAATGGGGGAAATCAGTGGGAAAATCAACAGGAAAAGTGGGGAAACAGCGGGAAAAAATGTGGGAAATCAGTGGGAAAATCAACAGGAAAAATGGGAAAACTGTGGGAAAAAATGGGGGAAAATAGAGAAAAATGGGGGAAACAGCAGGGAAATAATGGGGGAAATCAGTGGGAAAATCAACAGGAAAAGTGGGAAAACTGTGGGAAAAAATGGGGGAAATGGGGGAAAATAGAGAAAATCAACAGGAAATATGGGAAAACAGTGGGAAAATAATGGGGAAAAATGGGGGGAAATAGAGAAAAATGGGGAAACAGCAGGGAAATAATGGGGGAAATCAGTGGGAAAATCAACAGGAAAAGTGGGAAAACAGTGGGAAAATAATGGGGAAATGGGGGAAATCAGTGGGAAAATCAACAGGAAAAATGGGAAAACTGTGGGAAAATGGGGGGGAACAGCAGGAGAAGAGCCCTGGGATGGGGTGGGGTAGCTCAGGGCGGGTTGTGGTGAAAGTGAACTGAACTACAAAATCCCTATGAAATCCCTGTGAAATCCCTATAAAATCCCTATAAAATTAGTTTTAAATCAGTGTAAAATCTCTATAAAATTCCATCCCATCCCATCCTAATAATTTTACCTTTTATCCCACGTAGCAAATAATTCAGACTAAACCCTTTGGCCTGCAGGTTTACCCGAACAAATTGCTCATTTTCCTATCAATGCATCAATTCCCACCCTTCATCCACCAGGAAAAAGCCCCAGCCAGGGTTCCACACTCTTCAACCACTGAGGCCAAAAATCCAAAACCCGGATCCAGCCACCCTTGAGCTCCTCCTGGAGAAGGAATCCAGAAATCTGGGGTGTCCTGGAGGGGGGTTGGGGGTCCTTCGTGCACCTCAGGGAGCTTCCCCGGCCAGGAGCTCCCAATTCCTGGAGAAGTTTTTGGGGGAAAAAACCTCCCAGGCCCCTCCTCATCCCTGAATTTCGGTGTTTTCCCAGCAAAACATCCCCAGCCGAGGTCACGGGGGTGCTGAGGAAACCCCCGAAATTCGAGTGAAGCTCCCCCAGCAGGGAAAGGAAACCCCCCCGGGGGACTGGGAGGCCTCCAAAGCGCAGGGGAAGCAGAGAAAAAAAAACCCCAAAGTGTTGAGGAAGCCCCCAAAAGTGCGGAGGAAGCCCCCCAAAAATGAGGAAGAAGCCCCCAAAAGTGTTGAGGAAGCCCCCAAAAGTGCGGAGGAAGCCCCCCAAAAATGAGGAAGAAGCCCCCCAAAAGTGCGGGGGAAGCCTCCCAGAAATGAGGAAGAAGCCCCCAAAAGTGCGGGGGAAGCCCCCGCGGGCCCTCGGAAGCCCCCCGGGCTGAGTCCCCGCCCGGGGCCGGGGGGATTCCCCGGCCCCCTCGAGCGGAACCGTCCCTCCCTTTCCCGGAATGGCCCCAGGAAGGGAGGGAGGGAGGGAAGGAGGGAGAAAATCCCGCTGCTTTTTATGGATTTCGCAAGAATTAACAAAATTCCCCGCTCCATCCCCGCGGCGGGGGCTGCGACAGCTCCGCCACCCGCGGCCGGGGCGCGGTGCCACCTCCGCGGGCGGCGACACGCGGCGACAAGAGGCGACAAGCGGCGACACGCGGCGGCCGCGCGCGCTCGTGCCCCGGGGGTCCCCCGGTCCCCGCCGCCCCCCGCCCGCCCGGTGCCACCCGCGGTGTCCCCTCACCTGCCATGACAGCCAGGGTGCCCAGGGCCAGCGCCAGCAGCGCGGGGGCCACCATCCCGGCGGGGACACCGGCTCCCGGTCCCGCGGCGGCGACACCGGCTCCCGGTCCTGCGGGGGCGCCGGGATGCGCCGGGAGCACCGGGAGGGGGGCGGTGGGGGTCGGTGGGTTCAGGGTCCCTGGGTTGGATCCGGTGCGGGCCCGGACCCCGGGAGGGGTCGGTGCGGGCGCTCCGGGAGCACCGGGAAGGTTCGGTTCAGGTTCTCCGGGAAGGTTCGGTTCCGGTTCTCCGGGAAGGTTCGGTTCAGGTTCTCCGGGAAGGTTCGGTTCCGGTTCTCCGGGAAGGTTCGGTTCCGGTTCTCCGGAATGGGTCGGTTCGGGCCCTGTGGGAAGGCTCGGTTCGGGTTCCTCGGGAGCCCCGGGAAGGCTTGATTCGGGCTCTCCGGGAAGTTTTGGTTCAGGTTCTCCGGGAAGTTTCGGTTCAGGTTCTCCGGGAAGGTTCGGTTCGGGTTCTCCGGGAAGGTTCGGTTCAGGTTCTCCGGGAAGGTTCGGTTCGGGTTCCCCGGGAAGGTTCGGTTCGGGTTCTCCGGGAAGGGCCGGTTCGGGTTCTCCGGGAAGGGTCGGTTCGGGTTTAAGATTCGGTTCGGGTTCTCCGGGAAGGGTCGGTTCGGGTTCTCCGGGAAGGGTCGGTTCGGGTTCTCCGGGAAGGTTCGGTTCGGGTTCTCGGGATGGGTCCCCCGGGGCTGTTCCGGGTCCGTCCGGGTCGGGTCTCGGGTTTGGCTCCGGGTGCTCCCCGCACCCCCCGTCCCTCTGTCCTTCCCTCTCTTTCTCCGTCCGTCTGTCCCGCTCGCCGCTTTTATCCCCGGCCCGTCCCCGTCCCGCCCCCGGGGATTTCCGGGGCTGCGGGGACCGCGGGGCTCGAGGGGCGGCCCGGGGGGCTCCGGCCGCTGCTGCCCCCCGGGGTAATTTCCTGTCCCCTGTCACGGGGTGGGACAATTTTCCTGTCCCCAGTCCAGGGACGGGACAGTTTTCCTGCCCCTCTTTCCCTCCTGCCCCTCTGCCACGTCCCCCTCGTCCCCTCCTTGTCACCCTTGTGGCCCCACCCTGTGGCCCCAAACCGGGGGGGGGGCTCAGCTTTGAGCCCCCCCAGCCCCGATGCGCCACCTCCAGCTCGTGATGGGGCTGTCACCCGCCTGTCACCCCCCCGGGGGTGGCTCCAGAGGCCACCATAGGGCGCCGGTGTCACCAGGGCCGCGACTTCCTCTATTCTGTCGCTTTTTGACATCAGGGGATTTTTGTCACCCCTGGCACCGTGGGAACGTCCCTGATGCCCCCGGGATGTCCCCAGGACGGTCCCAGCCTCAGGACACCATCCCTGATGTCCCCACGGTGTCCCCAGTGCCCCGGTGGTGGCACCCAGCCCTGCCACCCTCCCTCGTGTCACCTCCGGGCCACCAGGCCGGCTGCAGAGGGGGACAGGCCGGTGACACTTGCCACAGCCGCGGGGTGACACTTCTGCAGCCCGCGGGTGTCACATCCCCGCTGTGCGGGTGACAGTCCCCTCCCCGCGGCCATCCCCGTGGATTGTCCTTGCCGCTGGAATTTCGGGAATGCCGGGAGCCTCCTGCGGGGGTTCAGAGGCCACGGGTGGCACAAGGACATTGGGGACAGGGACACTGGGATGGGGACACGGGGGACACAGGGATGGCAGGGACACCGTGTCAGGGACAGGGACAGCAGGAGCGCGTGGGTCAGGGGCAGGGTGGGGACAAAGGGGACACGGAGGCGCTGCCAGCTCCGAGTCAACAGGACGTGCCACCCCCACCTTCCCCCCGCAGGACGTGGGCCGGTGCCAGCGTCCCCTCGTGTCATTGTCACCTCCCGCCAGCGGCCCCTGTCCCCTCCGGCCTCTTCCTGATCCCCTCTGCGCCCCCTGGGGTGTCCCCCTGTGTCCCCCGGGGTGTCCCCCCGGCCCCAGTGGTGGCCTCTCCCCGCCCCTGTCCCCTCCCTCCCCGCTTGTCCCCTCCTGTCGCCTCCCGGGCGCGCCAGGAAGCGGCTCCGGACCTGGCCCAGGATTCTCCCTGGGCAGGGAGCGATTCCCGGAATTGGCCCCTCACCTGGGAAACCGGGAAAAACCGGGGAAAACCCCCAAAACCACCGGGATCGGGATGGGCACGGCCGGGAGAGCCCCCCCAAATGACCCAGGAGGAGGAGGAGGAGGAGGAAGGCGCGGGATTCCAGCGGTTCCTTGGGATACGCGGTCACCCGGGAAGGTCCCACCTCCCCCCCAGTTGGGTCCCCGGCCCCCTCAAAATTCCCAATTTCCCGATTTTTTTCCGGGATATTCCCCCAAAAGCCCGTGCCAGGACCCCCCCCCCCCCCCCCCCCCAATTTTCGGGG